ATTCTGGATTTGTTCATTCTGGAGTCATCAAGACAAACTGTGTAAACAAATTCTACCAACATACTGATTTTCTGAGGAAATCATCAGCCACAAATTACTTTCAAAGCAAACTGGATGAAACACGAAGAGGTCCAGAAGGCATTTTCTCAAAGAGGAAAAAATTGTCCCCTTTCACCCTGAAAAATACTATTTACACATAAAAGATTTTTTCATTAGGTATTCCCTATGGTCTCAGATTTTTAGAATTAGTTCATTAAAAYGCCACTAAAAAATATTTTCAATATAAAATCTTCCACACTGTTTCAATTAAAGCACATTCTTAATTATTACACTAAAGAACATGCTTCATTATTCACTGCCCTCCAAGAACTAGCACTTGTTGGCCCTCAGCACGCGTGAGCATAGACAAACCACCGAGCAGAACGTGCTTTGCACTTCACACCTGACCTACATCAAACACTTCTGCACTTTTCAAAGGGAAAAACTGCAACTGGTGCCATTCAAATCACTTATTTCACAGGTAAAACCTGAGCAGGTAGATAACTCATTCAATTGGCTTTAAAATTTACATAGTTATCACTCAAAAAAAAAAAAAAATGCCAGTTCTGCATGGTCATGTTGATTCAGCAGGCAAGGGTAAACACTAAGTTCACACAAACTCCACAAAGAAAAAGCAAACTAAAATGAAAATTGAAAATGAGCTGTACATRGAACAGGAAAGAAAGAAACAGTTAAAAAAAATATCAAACTTTGGAACTTTTCTTCTAGCTCCAAACAGAGGATTTACAGGCATGAAGGCCTTTATAATTATCAAAAACAAAACCAAAAAAAAAAAAAATCAAGAACTGAAGTTTAACTTACTGCTCTCCGTTGCGTATGCCAACTGCTTCATTCTATAAAACACCTCTCCAGGTTTTTAACATCCATACACTGCTCGAAGCATGATCTTTCCATCCCAAAACTTCCTCTTTATGTTGTCCCTGGTGAACAGTTAATCTTTCTGCTGGTCCTGGTTAAACAGGCTTCCTCCTTTCCTCCCTCCCTCCCTCCTTCCTCCGCCTCTCCCCCTGCTCTCCCAGCAGCCGCGCCGGGCTCAGCGCTCGGGTATTTGGCACGGTTAAAATTGAATTTGGTAACGATCCATGCGTTTACACAAAAAGAAGAAAAAAAAACGGTCAATGCCTTTTTGAGATCAATCAAAGTCTATCAGCATTCGCAGTTGGAAATCACAGTAACGTGCTGCAAATAAAGGACTTGGATCGCGATGCCAAGCTGCCTTCCACSTTTTGGCTGCCCTTTTTTTTAAGCAACGTGTTTGCCATCACACATTGACCTGACCGACATGACCGAGACTGCTGTGAAGAGGGATGTAGGACCCCCTCACTGGGACTTTTGGGTCCTCACAGATACAGATTCCCTTGGTGGGCTTGTGTCAACCCTCTCTTCCCTAAGATATCACACATCTGAATATCTGAAGTCATTATTTYACCTGCTGCTTAATGCTTTTATTAGCTACCCATATTATAGTGGTTTTTTTCTACAGATCAGGAGGGTCTGGTTAGTTTGCTTCAGGAAAGGACTACCCTGTGCTCTCCACAAATCTGCTCTCTGCTGATTCAAGAGCTAACTGACAGCAGACCCTGAGCAAWGTCTACAGCTTCAGGTGCTCGGTGCAATGCTGATAACACACCTCTCCCCAGCGTCTAAAAAGCAGCAAGCCAAGAGCACCCAAAAGACCAAATCAAGAGGTTGTAACTTCTATTTCTACTCTTCATGTTCAGCCAAGCTCCTCATTGTGATTGCTACAATAGACAGAACTACTGCACACAACTGCGAGACTATGTGCTCATTAATTACCAGCGATGCTGTGTTATTTTCTTCCTGAAAGACTTCRTTTTCCTTCGGCCAGGAAATGGGGCAGAAGGGGAAGTGCTGAGAACAAACAGGCCGACCAAGAGTCTTCCACATGGAGCAGACMGATTTTCCAGCTGTCCACATAGCCTTTTGCCAGCTCCACATCAAGCCGGCTCATCCCTGGTCAAGCCAAACCTGACATTTACACTCCCTTAATGATAAGGGCTGCTATCCCTTTACCCAGAAGACTCCTTCAGGTTCACATTCAGCATCCCACCCCAAATGGGGAAAAAAACACATTAGTTTCCCAAAAGGAATCTCTATCAGGCTTCACAAGTCTCACTGCTCTCTTTCCACAATTCTTTTTTAGCTCTTCTACAATTATTAAGGCACATAGGGGGTCAATCTGCTTTTTGTCTCTATTATTGCTAATTTACTAAGAGTGGAAAAAAATGCATGAGCAGAACATAAGGGCTCCAGTGAGGAGGAGTTTGCAACCTTGGAGGACAGAGCAAATGACCACCCTGCACCCAATATAGGAGCCAAAGACATTTATTATATACATTTTTCATCTGATTTTACGTGGAGCTACAGAAGGGGGCTTGTCCTCTATCTTCATGTATTCAAATAAGATCATTTTAATTTGGAAACACTGCTGGGATCATCTGTGTTCACCTTTAGCATCCCATTGTTCATATTCTAAGGCAGATCTGTAATCCCTCTTCTAAGCCAGATCTGTAAACCTTCTTTCAACATTAACTCTGTTTACACATCAAATTTTGACTAATTTTGTCTMATTTAATGTGTGTGTTCTTTTTTTCTCCCCCAATAATACCTGGTTTTGAGAAACTTGCTGTCACACTAGCCCTGTCCTCTCCATATGTGAAGAAAAACAAACAGCAACCACAACAAAAACTTCATTTGACCTTGAGTGGCAAATTAATTTGACCAGCCTTTTARCTAACATTTTACCAATTTTTTTCCTTTAACTCCAAAGTAAAAATGTCATTTTTTTTTTCCAAACAGGCTTCTACTGCCCTCTGTAGGATTATTTTAAATAAATCACTAGGAACAAATGAATAATAAATAAGAATAACAAACAAACAAAGCCTGGGCCTGCAAAACAGGAGCCGAGTGCGTGAAGAGCAGAGGGGATGTTAGGGGAGTCAGAGCCAGTCAAGAGTGCCCAGCATTTTGCAGAGTGGAGCAGCTGAGCATGTCGAAAAGTTTACCGCAGTGCATCACCATTTTATGATMTAAGTATTTTAAGCACCTTGCCAAATCAACTCAAGCCCTGAAGTCCAGATATGCAGAGCCCTGCACCATTCAAGCAACCAGACCAGGCAGTCACTAAGATCTTCCCTGCCTTTATAATCCATGAAAGGCTACTCAAGAGCAGTATTYCTGATCATGAGTAAACAGGACATCTCATTTATGTGTATTTTTTGCCTGTATATGTGTGTGTCAACACCCACAAGCACACAGATATTCAGAATCACTAATTTTTATACAAAAGTATACGAGATTTAGATGTTGCATGAATCTCTTGCCCAAAGCTTCTAGCAAACCGACTGCCTCATCTTTGATTTACCAATGGCATCTTTCAGAAAGTCTATGTTATTTTTTTTCGGGTAGCCAGCTCCTCCTCCGTGCTTCATTTATTGTCCTTTTCCTTTCTGATGTATCCCACTTCATTAACTCATTTTCACCGCCACAAGACACAGGCCAGTACCTAACCAGACAATTTACACTGCAGAGATTGGGAAAGGCCACAGGTTAGGGACAGCTGCAACCTGTTTGGTAAGAGCAATTCATATCTGAAGGCTACTTCAGTCAGAAAATCATTACCTACCCAAAACAGCTCTGCCAAAACAGGCAGGATTTCTTTTTCTCCACTTTCTTCTCCAAAAACACGCAATGGAGCTTGTAGCCAGGCACTTCCCCAGTCTTGCAGAGGGAAGAACACAGGAATTAACTGTTCTGGGGGAGATAAAACACCAGCCTCTCCCAATCTCTATCCTCACCAGCAGCCCATAGAGGTGGCTGTGCAAAGAGGAGGGGAAGCAAAGGGCAGATAACACAGGTTGAGGAATTTTCCAGCTGTGTTTCATTAGTCCAGATTACAGTGATTTAGTCCAGCAAGTATTAAGAAGAGAAATAGCAAAAAACAACTTATTTTTTTAAAGGAAAGTGAAGTATCAACATAAATATTAAAAAAGTGTCTCTGCACCGCAGTTCTAATTCCTGTACTTTTTTTTTTTTTTTTTTTTTTTAAACACACAAAGAAATAATAACTTGTCAATTGAATAACTTGACTGGCAATTTGAAGGTAAGCATTCTCTCAGCTTTCCGCTTCTTAGATATTCTTAGACTTTGAAACTTCAGAAAGAACAGGTAGGGGCGATCACTCTCTATGTTAAGTTGTCCAGAAAAAATACAACGGGTAGCATTAGTTCCATATCTATACTGTGTTACTTCCATATCTATATTTTCAAATAAAAACTTTCAGCCATGAAAGTCACTGAAGAGCACTCGGTTCCCAACTGTAATCAACAGGAGGTTGAGCAAGAATACATGAAATTAGTAAAGTGATTCCCCTTAACTTTGATGAGTTTTGAAGTTAAGGAAATCCAAGAAAGACTTCCAGCAGTTTGCCACAGGGCTGGCTCTTGCAGAGAGTGATTTCTTGCATTATGTTATGATTAAACTAAGCATATTTGGAGGAAACCTCAAATGAATCTGAGCACCSACAGTTCTTGACTGCTGGCATTCCACCTCTTTCTAACCAGCTTTTCATCCTCCTTAATGAAGATTTGTGTATGTGAGAAACAATTGCTCATCCATCCTTTCATATAACTGCCACACACACTTTTGTAGCACCCCTTTGCTTACTACCTACCCTAAGGATAGTATTTTTTTTTTAGTAYAGGCATGATAAAGAAAACTTACCTGCTTCAGTCAGAATGAACCAATTACTAAAAGCTTTCTTTGCAAAAAAAAAGAAGATTTCTTTGCAAAGGGACACTTAGCAGTCAGAGATAATCTCGCAACTTCAGGAATGTTACTTAAAAAAAAAAAAACACTTTTCCCTGAGCACAACCACACCTAGGAGACTTTGAGGAAAACCCAAAATTTCATGCACTTACCTTTCTCGTTGCTACTTGTTGATGTTGAAGGGGAAATTCCAGGCTTGGATTTGTCATAATTGTTAAAGCTCTGGCTGCGTCGATTGTTGGCACTAAGAGAACCACGAGTTTTGGCCTCACTGCCTGCAGCGGACACCCTCGCGGTGGGGCCTGGAAGTCTGATCAAATAATTAAAGTCAGGTGAAATACATTACAGAAAAAGGGGGTGGGGGGTGAGGAAAAAAAAAAGGGGGAGGAGGAAAAAAAAAAAGCACCTTTGGAAGGGAAAGAAACTGCAAAATACCATGCATAATCTGAAAAGAAAAGGATTAGTACCCCAAGGTTTTATAAGGAACTTTAAAAAGCTCCAACACATCATCCTAGATAAAAGAAAAATGTATATATATAATGAACAAGGTAAAATGTGAACTGTTTTACATGAGGGAAAAAAAAAAAAAAAAAGGAAGAAAATCTGTTGAGTGAGATAGTTCAATAGCTTTCCTGTGATTTTTTTTTTATGCTCAAAAAATCAGAATCCAGTTCTGAAATTGCTTCTTAAGGTGACTAATAGTGAACTTGGCAAACGGGCTACTTGTTTCTACTGGGTGAACCACAGATTATATTAGATTATAGAGTGCCTATTAGAGTGCCTAAGCTGGCCACAGGTGTTATACAGACCCTCCCTACATACATATTTCTTCTCCAGTGATCATTAATGGTGTCCTGCCATAAATCTTGTAAAGCAGAAACAGTTGTGGTACGCTCAATGGAATAGCAACCCTTGCAAAAATGGTGCAAGGCTAAGACTAAAGGAGACTCCTGTTCTTCAACCAGGCTGCTGAACAAGGCTGTAATTAATTTGGGAATAACAGGGAGACAGAACATGTCTTAGCTTAGCTTAGAACATGCCAAGCTTAATGACTTGGCTTTGCCTTGTAGGGAAGCACATTACTTCTCTTCAGCGTTGCAGGCAGGAGGAGAGGAGGAAGACTTTTCTAAGCAGCCTGACACAACTAGGGAAGCAGCTGGCAGCCCGTTTCAGAGCAATATGTGTGCGTAAGCCCTTCAAAGWGAATGTTTACACATTCACTTTTAAGATTTGTAATGTATATCCTGCACTAATGAGCACCGCTTTTTCATATTCCACATAAAATACAAAAATTTTCATTTCAAAATGAAGCTGACTAGTTTAGAAAAGCGACAACATCCCATCACAGACCAAAAGAATTGGTTCACATCAAATATAGCAACTGAAAGGGACAACTCCTTGGTGTCTTTGTATTTTCAGTAGAGTAGAATTGCTTTAAAACATTTTTTTTTTTTCAGATAAAATCAATGTGTATTAAATAACTTCTGGTAATGGCTRAAATGAACAAGTCCCTGTTGTTGGAGAGCAAGGGGATGCAAATCATGCCCCCGGGAGGGAAGAGTAACTGGAAAGGCCATCTAGGGATGCTTCCTATATCAACCAACTTCTCCAAGAGATAGGAAATTCGAAAAGCAACACGAAGGAATACAGCAAAAAGGTCAGCAGCTGCATGCACATGCGTTGAGAGCTCAAAGTAGGAAAAGGCATCATTCAAAAACGGAACAAAAAAGGCATTTATAAACGCAAACCACTGCAGACCCGGCACAGCGTGTCATGGTTCTGAGGTTTACTACCTTGCTGAACCCTTTTAGCCAAAGCTCTCATTTTACCCAGGATTTCTGGGGACCAACAGCCCTTCCCAACACTGGGGGGTGCTAGAAAGTTGCACACCATGATCGCTGCAGGAAAGCGTGAACCGCTAATTCCCTAGGGAGCCTTCAGCACTGCAAAGGCGACTCCAGCAGCCGCAGCAGAGGTAAAGCAGGAGGAGATAAAACCCAAACACTCTTCATGAAAACAGTCACACTCCTCAGGGCRAGAAGGCTCACGGAGGGCTCGTTTTGCTTACAGGGCAGTGAACTATAAAGCAGCAATTAATGCTCTTTACAAAGGCAGCCACCTGGCCAAGTCGTTCACAGATTGGTTAAAAATGGCAAATAATACTTCAGAAGCTCAGGGAAATGGTAACCAAGAGCTTACTAACTAATGTAGAACTATCAAAAGACTCTAGTAAAATGTTTGTATATGTAGCATATTCTTATATATAAATGTKTTTATATAAGTAGTGAAAGGAAACTTCTATCCCTAGCTCCATTAACCCCACTGCTAGGAAACCTTAGCAATGCTTGTAAGTGCTGAGATGAGGTGGCCATGGAAGCTGGTATGCACAAAAGGCTGGATTTCAGGAAAAATGGACTAAAATATCATTTTTAGGGAGATTAGAGGCTCTCGGCTGCATAACACCGGGCAGTGCAGAAGCTTTGATGAGACATCCCCATGGAGTGCTGTTTTCTCCACTTGCCAGCCCAGAGAGCATGAGCCTGATGTTAGCACTTGCAGTTGTGCACCTCTAAATACAATTTATGTACATTTATGTACAGGACATTTATGTACACACATTATGTACATACATTTATGTACTGTAGGGAGAGAACTCCCAGAACCATGTTTTGTTCTCAAGGAGGAACATTCAGATGGACACCAAAATACCAAGTATTTTCTCGCTAGCAGAAATGCATTCCACGCCTTGCAAAAAGACAAAAAAAAAAGTGAAAACAGGCCTGACATTTCCGTGTTTCAATCGCTTGTCAAGTTACAAACAAGGAGGTCAATATTTTTACGGCGAGCCCTAAACATGCATCTGGATATATTGCAAAAAAGGGTTATTCATGCTTTGCAGAGGATGAAGAAATGCTAACCTAGAAGACCTTTTCTGACCAAGAGTGAATCGGATGATTTTGCTTTGAGATGAGTCCCTGGGAGATGCACTGTACGACAGGAAAGAAAAAGTGGAAGAAAACAGTGAGCAAAGAAGAAACTTTCTTTTTAGCCACTGAACTTAATTACTCGCTTTAGGGAGAGAAGGATTTTCTTCGCAATGTGTAACTTCTAGTCAAAACCGCATAAAATCTGAAGCGAATTTTTTTTTTAAAGGAACGCAGGTGCAATTCTGTAAGCAAAATTCAAACTTTAGTACTCAGTTTCCTCTCAAACTGTTATTGTATGACTCACCTGAATCTGAACAATAACTCAGTATATTCTAATGAAACAATATAGGATTTCTTTAGCATCTTCAAGGGTCTTTAAGTTATCAGAAACCCAGGACAATCCATACAATSGACTGCAGAGTCAAAATAATATTCAAATAATTCAATACACTTGTTACACAAAAAAAAGTCATAGAAATATGTTCTTACAGTTCATCTTTGCTTTAGAGTATTTAGTCCCTGTATGAGTCATTGCACAGTAGCAATGACAGCTAGCTTCAATTATACAAAAACAGTTTTCCACCTAACTTGTGTTATTTCCACCTTAATTTGTGTCATTTTTAAATAACTAAGTCTTCAAATGCTAGCAAACATGCATAAGTGATCTGAGCATTTGAAACCTGCCTACTTACTCCTTTTAAAATCCTCACTCTCTCACCAGTAGCTGGATAAGAAGAACACTATAGGAATAAATGCACGCACAGAGGTAGGGCCTTAAAAATTACTTTAATTCTAACTTGTAAGGAGCACCTATAGGATTAAAGGCATCCAAGACATGCCCCCACCCTCCATTACCTATATTATGTTCTCGGAGTCCTAACAAATTCCAACTGCAAAATTACTTTTCATTTGGGCCAGGAGCTTCCTGTTTTTGAGCAACAAACCTAAATTTAATGCTGACTGTTGCCACCTGTGATGAACTCTTACCACTCCCAGACACTTGCATTCATCTGGGAGGGGGCTGTCCTTGTGAATGGAAAACTGAAGKTTTTTTTTTTATGTCCAAGGTGTATATATACTGTATTGGTAGTGATATGTGAGTTTTGCTAGTAGAAGGAATAACTGGGAAACATTTCCTTAGGAGAAACTGTGGTTGTGCTGGCATTTGATGCCCACTGAAGTGCCTGTTTCTAGCATACTGAAGCACCTCTGTTTTGCTTCCCAAGGGTGTCAAGCCAGCTGCTACTCAGCATTCAACAAGCGACACACTCTCTATCCTAAAATAAAACCCCTAAATGGGGCCGAGTCCAGTTGGAGGCCTGTGGCCAGTGGTGTCCCGCAGGGGTCAGTGCTGGGCCC